TCTTCCTGGTCTGCAGACCAGCGAGACGCAGAGCAAAGCCCCAGAGTACACGGGCGGCAGGACCGCGAGGTCCCGCAGTCCGTGTACTCTGGGGCAGCCCTGTTCGTAACTGCGGATCCGACGTAAGTCGGGGACTGCCTGTAATCAGACTTCTGAGGAGGATCCTCCACAATGTGCTCCAGCAGATATATTGGACTCAAAATTGCACTTCTGATATGGTAGTCTGAGACAGGAATATGTAGATAACGTGTGTATAGTGCTGAAATTACCTCAGTTCATGTCTTAGACCAGCGGTTTCCCGCTGCCAGGCCATGGGACCTCTGGCTGCCGGGCTGCAGCAGCTCTGGGACGGGCTGAGGTACACTGCTCTTGCCACAGCTGTTGGGAGAGGCATGTCCTGCCCATCTATCAGCCAATCAGCACCAGGGAGGGCCGGGAGGAGACCTCATGTTGCAGGGTCCTCCCACCGGGCAGGGAAGCGCTCTTCCACAGCCAGGAAGAGACCTCTCACCCCTGTGCAGCTCTGATTGGCTGGGAGGCAGGGGAAGAAATGCCTCTCCCAACAGCCACAGTGGGAGGGGAGGTGCTGGGTGGTGTACTCCAGCCCCGGTTCCCAGAGTGACCACAATGTAGGCAGCAGCGCAGGACTGAGGCAGGCACCAAGGGCTCCGTTGGTGTAACTAATGCTGGGGGGGTTCTGGAGGCTGAGCTAGTAGTCGAGGGCGGAGTGACTATGGCAGCAGGCCTGGCATTGTAGGGCTATGGGGATGGGGCTAATATTGGGGACTGGCCTGGGGGGAAGCTCTGGGGAGATTGGGTGGGGTGGGGATCTGGAAACAGGAGGCTGGTACTGGGAGGTCTGGTGGTGGGATATTCTAAGGGGTGGAGGGCTGGCACTAAGGCATTTAGGACAGGGGACGGCACTAGAGGAACTCTGAGGGTGGAAGGCTGGCACAGGGGGGGTGGGTGTAGCTGGGGGCTAGTGGAGGAGTAGGGGGCTCTAGGGGTTAGGGCTGGTACTGGTGGCTCTAGGTGCTGGGTTTTTGGTGGACCGATAATGTTTTATTTGCATATTTACCATTTGCATAATGAATATTCAAATTGCAAATAAAATGTAAAAAATAAAATGGTCAGCCAAAAGTTTGTGAATATGTTTGCCTATTCCTGGTATCAAAATGATTGGGAGCTACTGTCTTAGATTGAGCATACTAGCAATACATAAGTATTCAGTATCTGTCCAAAAGCACTCTTTGAAAAGGTGTGAATAGTCCTGCAGCACCTTAGAGATTAACAAAGAATGTAGATGGTATCATGTGCTTTTGTGGGCACAACCCACTTCTTCAGATGAAAAGGTGGCAGTATGGTGGGGGGAGTGGGAAGGGAGCATTTCTGTCACCTCTTTAGGACCAAATCCCATGCATCCCACTCCTCAGTCCCATTTCAGTGAGAGCTCTGATTGCTCAGCATCTCTTGGGAGGCCCCCAATATCTCTGCAGGATCAGGACCTTCAGCCATCCCACTTTTCTGATGCTGTGTATGTGGAAGTCTAAGATTACTGCTGAGCCCTCACTTTTGTTCTTTGTCCAAGTCAGCGCTTTTATTTAGCTCCTTGTTGACAGTGTACACTGACAATTGAACTACAAAACTTTTGTCATTCACAATTGCTTAATCCTGTCTCCCTCCCCCCAATGCAAAAGTTTTGCCATAGCAAGTGGCAGTGGTAAAGGGCTTGTTAGTAGGAGTATTCTCCTGTCAACAATACAGGGGGTAGAAATATTTTGTTTGCAAAAGTGCCAACAAACACTGTTTACACTGCCTGACTTTTAGTGACACGACCATGTTGCTGAAAGCCATGTAGTGTAGACAAAGCCTAAACAACCACCATCTCTGCTAAAGGATCAGACTGAATGTTTGTACTTCTGCATAGACATTTTGG